CAAAACCATTGAAGCCCCTGGAAAAGGTAGCCAGGGACCCAGTACCACAGAAACGATCCGCTGAAGATGATGAGGAACCACTTGTAGCGGCTAATGGTCCAACCATTGGTCCGTGCCGGGTCTGAGGGGGAGTGGTCGTGGAGTGTGTAGAATAGAGCGCAGTTGACGAGATCTGTAGGCCAGATCATGGCAGCTGGCCAGACGAGAAATCTCCTAGCCAAACCGGCAAGTCCATATCCCGTGCAGAGTGTGGTGATGCCAAATAGCAACTGCCACAGCCAGCCGAAATTTTGGCCGTACCATACCTGCTGGGCAATGATAACATCGGTAGCGTAGAGAGCGCCGCCGCCGTAGGCGGCCTGTTTCGTGTCAGCACCCAGTTCCCTCGAACTACGCCTCAGGTGTACCCACATTAGACATCACCACAATGACGACATGTTCCTTGACGTTGAAGGGGCCCGGCTTGAAGTTCATCTTGAAGCCAAGAAACTTAATCTCGCGGTCGGGAAACACTACATCCCAAAACAAACCAATCGGATAGGCAATCAACTGAATGACAAACGTCGTGAGTAGAATGCTCGGGTTTCGAAGCGATAGCAACATGTTGACAGCCGAACCGATTGTGCATAGTAGTAGCCCAATCGACCAAGCCCGGATTGTGTTGGCGGGCATTTCGACATCGAAATTCCGGACCGAGGCTCGAACCTTTGAGAAGTTGCTTGTTAGAGCGCGTCCGTTGCAGCAACAAGTACGGTCTCTTTCGCGCGCGCGCGCGCGTGACAGACAATGCAGGGCTTCTCACTTCTGGGTATGGCGAATTGTCCTCGGCCAAAATCTGCTCAATCTCGGCGCCCTTTTCGGCATTCGAAGTCTTGAGCGCAACATCGATTTCGTCCAACTCGTCAAGGGGGAGGTTCGGATCAAGACGATGCATGTTTTTCATCTGCTTGAGCGAATTCAGCGTCTGGTAGTCGGCCGTGTCCCCTTCCATCGACCCGTTGTCCATGTCGGGCATCACGTTGCCCTCGGCGTGACGCCGATGGAGGAACCTGAGAACCATGGCGGCGTGTGGTTCTCGGTCGGGAGAAGCGTCCCGGGACGCTTTCCGCGCAGCAAGGCGCGCGAAAGGAGAGCGGGAGACGCTCACTCAAGTCGTCGGCGGGCCGACGCAACTCTGGAAAGAAAGACGGGCGTTGCTTGCGGCGCGAGCAAGGCACGGGAGCATTAACGTTAGTATATTTCGATCGTGGACATGGCTGCCTCGTGAATGGGGGCGATCACATCACAGCCGGGCCCGGCGACAGGAGGTGGACGGGGGCGAGATGGGGCAAGAATGGAGGATGGCCAACGAAAGGGGAGGGAAGTGGTGGGTTTTCTGCACCCGGGCGACAAGGAAGGCCCCCGGTCCAGGCGAGCCACTGGTTGCGCTGCGCTGTGGGAGGAGAAAAGAGGGAGGGGTCTCTTCTGGAAGCACTGGACAATCCGCTGGGCATCGCGGAAGATGCAGCCCCAGCTATCGGCGACCTGCCTAAATCGGACTGATGGCTGGGTTGATGGGTCGAGGGCCGATGGATGACAGGGGGGGCTCAGGAAATCGCAAGGGGGGGGCCAGCCGCTGCGGTCCGCTTAGACTCTCTGGAGAGACCTAGGGTTCTCTCTGTCGGCAAGGCCTTGGTGTTCGTCGATCCACCCGGCCGTGACTGATGCGATAGGGTTCCTTGTCATCAATCAACCTATCCGTGGTAGCGGGACCGGTGATCGCGACTTTTGCTTCTCTCCAGTCTCCAGAAGCAGCAAATTTCCTGAGCCTGAGCCCGAGCCTGAGCCTCGTCGCGATGAAAGGCGGTCGGCAGGCCGTGCTCGTGCTGTGCGCATGAGGCAGAGCAGCGATAACTTGAACAAGCGACGTTGCACTCGCAGCGCCCAGCCCTCCGACGCTGCATGGCCGGGATAGGTTGTCTTGGATTGTGCGTCTTCAGCTGGAAAGTGGGCATTTGGAGGCACCGAGTCTGTCCGCCCAGGAACTGAAGAGAGCACCGATCAGCAGCCAAACGGCTGGCAAAACGGGACGGGCGGGACGCGACGGGGTTTCTTGTCGCGCGGCGGGCCTGCTTCGACCCCTCTGTCGCTCATCAGATGGAGCGCCTGGTTGCCACCGTCTCGCGGCCACCCAAAGCAGCACGCCCCAGCCAATGGGGTGCCAGCTCTACCCTGTCGTCAATATCGGCGACCCATGAAGCTTCTTATCTCCCCGTCGTCAAGGCCCTGAAGGCCGTGTCCGCCGCAGCCATGGTGTTCTGTGCAAAAGCATTCTCGATGCTAACCATCGTTCCAAACTTGGTCAGCATGCGATGTTGACCGAGACAGCTTCCTGGCTCGTTTTACCATGTGTCGGTATGATCGTTGACAAGAACGGGAATACTGAACAGCCCAAAGCTGATGGACTAAGAACGAACAGATTTGTGGGCACCGCGGTTTCCGTTTCTTGGCACAGATTTTGTTAGTGTTTCTTGCCCTTCTCTCTCCAATTCAACGAGCAGCAGCTTGTTCCGTCGACCGGCGACGTCGAGGCGGCACGGCGATATCAAAGATATCGTGAGACATTACAGGTATCCGAGACAATTAATTGAGCCGATTCTTTTCGGACGATTTTCTAACACAAGGTAGCATCTGGTGAACTGCTATTGGCGGCTCCTCGTCACATGAAAGCTGGCCGCAATGCTATCCACAGTGACCGTAGAACTAGAACCCAGGGTATCCTTTCAGTAGTTATCGGGCTGCGGGCAGGACCGATCTAGATCATCGTGACTTCCTTCCCAAGGAACATCGTATAAACTTTTACTCCGCCCTTCCCTCTCAACCAAAAGATGCACAGGAGAGGGCCAAAGGACCGAGCCTGCCGTTCGAAGTACCTAGATATGGACAGCGTGTTTCACAGTCAACTACGATGCGACAAATGGATGGAGAGACCAGGCCAAGAAGGCACAACTTCGGTGCTGCTCGCATTCCTTGAACAACCCCCACATTCTCTCCAAAGCCCAGAACTTTGCGGCCAGCTGGTGTCTGCCGTCAACCAATGGCTTTAAAAAGACACCAGGCCGTTTTACACGGCCGCCGGTACGGAGTACCCCCTGCCAAGACTCTGGGGAAATGCCCCCGCCTCCTGGTGACCAGATCTGGCCAGAGCCCAGACTGTGCCCATTCTCATCAAATTATCTCTCAATGCACCAGGCAAGAAATCCGAATTCTGCACCAAGCACCCAAATACTCGAGACAGCGTGTTATTTCCAATACTGTGGCGCAAACCTGCCAACCAAGCAGGAGGCGGGTCAGCCCAGAGTCACCCGTTCTCGAGCTTTCCGTGCTCCTGTTCTTCCGCACAGCTTCCGGCCCCTATTCCGCCAAAGGAAATGTGACTCTCAAAGTTGAGGCATCCCTCGTGTGGCTCCCCAGGTGTTCACGTTTTTCCGGGTCCCGTCCTCCTGTGTCGGCTCTTCCCTTGCCGATACTTCACCCAATCTTCTCGGTGCAATGCTTGGCAGTTGGCCGCGAAGTCGCACTAGGCCCTGGGCAGACGGACACACGCGTGGAACCAAGCGGCCCAGGAGTTCGGATCTTGATCAAGGATGATGATCCGAACGCTCCGCGAAACAAGGCTACGCAGTCAGCAGTGCTCCTTGAACTACATCCCTACATGTTGCCCAACCTGCTTATCTCCTCTGCCGTTTACTCGCAGACTGCTACTACAGGCTCCCACCCCCGCGGTTCTCTCCCAGCGGCGTGGATCCAAACAAGAGACGGTCGTCGTTCGTTGCCGCATTCCATCTTCCTGGTCCGGCGGATGTGAGTGCTGGGCCACCGTGTCGCTCTTTGGCGATTGTGGGGCAAGTCGAAAAGATGGGATTGGGACTACCAAAATAGCAACTCATAGATTGGAGTTCTCTTCCGGCTATTTGGGGATAGATTACCCTGGTGCTACCGCACACACGTGGTGGCCGGTGCTGCAGACCACACCAGGGCTCGGCCGTCCGGTGAAATATTATCAGGGCCTCATTAAAGCTCTTGAACTATCTGTTGGCGAGGCACATCCCGCTCCTCCCCTCGACAGGGCTGACTTGACTTGCCACTTCTCGGTTCTCGGCGTCAGACCACATGATGGAGTTTGACATGGTACTGTGGGGAAATATCACGCAGGCATCAACGGCGACGGCCCTCCAGTTTCCGCCGTTCTGTCGATTCCGGCTGTCGCCCACGAATCTAATCGAGCGGTCCTTTGCCAGATAGAAAACTTAGGTCCTCGGTCTTTTAGCCTTTCGGCCTGGCTAGACCAGCGGGACAACATTTCCACACCGTCTATATCTCGACAGATATTTCTGCAGATACCCGTTCGTCTGAGCATAGGGGCTGGGTGGCAATCTATGCATTTCAACCTTAAAGTCACACAACTCGTTTAGAGCAGCAACGGATGACAGGAAGAGGTCGTGAGTCCCGCGCACGTGTGTGTCTGCAATTGTGTTACCCCCATGGTAACACGACACTTCCGCACGCTCATACCCGGTATGGCAAGCCCACCGGCAGACTGTTTGCTGCACGTAGCAGCTTTGTGATAAGATATCCACGGGGGGAGGCAGGCCAAGGCTATTTAGATTAAGTGCTTCGGGAAGCAGTGATGGGGTTGGATGCTCCAATGCTACTCAACGGAGATATAGCGACAGACTGACTTTGGCCAAAATTCCACAAGGAGTCTCATATTCCGCACCAACATTTAGCTATTGGTCCGGAGCATTGGTGTCTATTGCACTTTTGTAACTCTAGGCCGAGGATAGATAATTTGCCGCTCTCTAGCAACTACGAAGCGCAACTATTTCACAACGGCAAAAAGGTCAGCTACCGATAGATAATAAGTAAGCCGGATTCAATTAAATTTAGCAAAAAAGGTAAGTAAAATAAAAAGGAAGGGGACATCGTGAAGATCAAGAGAACTCGAGATGATATATGTGGGGCTTGGCCGGGGATTGAACCCGGGACCTCTCGCAGAACAGTAGCTGTAGGGTGGACCCTAAGCGAGAATCATACCACTAGACCACCAAGCCAATCATGTTTCGATGAACATGTCGTCTGAAACCCGCACCCAAGTATCGACATCGCTGCCATGGTTGAGCAGGGGAGTGTTTACCCTGTGATCATTATCACGCGCATGCATCATTGAACTAGAAGTCCTCCTAGGGTTGACGATTTTCTGCTCTTTTTTGCCCATAGAGCAAATTCTTTTTTTTTTCCTTGAGAAAAAAATAATTTCTGTGGTATTCCGTAGCGATCAACCGATCTCTCCTTGTCTGTCGCCTCACCTACATTGCCTTGCTCAGAAGGCAGAGTTACTTGGGTCATAATAACCTAGGTTGTATGTTTCACCATCTATGCCAATGCCCATCTTGCTTCTCTCAAATTTCCCACGTCTTTTCGAGGCTATACAACTCGATGTATTTCTCTTTCAACACAGCCAAACAATACTTAATACCTTACGTTGGTTGGACACACGAGGGTAGGTCTACATAGTGCATCACCACGAGCAGCCAAACCGGTACAGAATATAAAGATGCTTCATCGACATGAAGCGTGAATTCTCTACAAGCATCTGGACAAGACGAGACGACCGAAGGCAAATAGACAGGGCCAGCTCCGTCCCTTGACCAACACCTAAAGGCGAGTAACCACTCCTCCTTTCCATTCCGTTGGCATCGCCGTGCTCTCTCTCCCTTGCTATGCCTTCTACAACGTCTCCCCCATCTCCACCCCACGTACGTACACAATTTTCTAGATACATGCACGGGCATCCTACGCTCCCCCTCGACACAATAGGTACAACCTGATATCTCTCCTCAGGACGGCGAGACATGAACACCCTTTGAAAGAGAGGCATTGGCATGATAGCTTCTAGTCAAAGACCTTTATAGCAGGATATCTAGATAGGTAGGTAGGTAGATAATAATCTACCCCTTCCGCCTCAGCATGCGGAGGCGGAGGCGGAGGCGGAGGCGGAGGCGGAGTAGGAAGAGGACGACCGGGCACGAAACGACAACGGGCACACGGCAAAGCACAGCACAGCGTAGGCATATATATATAAAAGGCTTTTGCGATAAAAATGCATAGACAGCCGCCTGGCTGCCCATCGCTGACTCGACTAGAGGCCAATGATAAAGAGAGTGAAAAAGAGAAAAAGAAAAAAGATAGAAAACAACACTGCTTTTCATAGACGTGTGTTCCTCCCAGGGTGAGGTACCCCGTATGCGTGTGTGTAAGCGTGTGTTGAAAGAGAAGAGGAGAAAAGGATATATGCAGCCAGTTCTCGGCAGTTGGCGCTTTCTTTATACAGGTTTTGTTTTCCCCCATGTCATGTCCCCCTTTTTCCGTTCCCCCCCCCCCCCCCCCTTCCGCCCCTCCAAACTCATGATGCCCCGAACTAGTCATATAATAATAGCAATAATAACAACGAGAAGAGGAAGTAGATAGTGGACGGCGCCGACCCTTCACTCTACTGAAGAACATAAAAAAAACACCGCCGAACAAATGGAATTAAGGAAAGGAACTGAAGTTCCAAAGGAGAAAAAGAAGGTAGGGGAAGAAAGAGCTATGCACCAAGTTGGAACTCAGATTCAGGTACTGTGGCGGCCTAGAAGACGGCCTAGCATATCGCTGCTGTAGTGACGACTCAGCCAAGGCTTCGAATTGGTCCTGCTGGCTCTGGCGCTGGCGCCCGCGTCCGGGGCGCTGCCCCTCCTGATAGCATCACCAAAGCTTGCGCCGTTGTTGCTGTTGCCGATGGTATTGCTGAAAGTATACCGCAGCTCCTCGCTTGATGCCTGCGCAGCGACGGACGGCCGTGGGTACATAAACGAGGCGTCGGCAGTGCGAGCGCGCACGGGGCTCTGCCGCGCAGCCGTCGGTGTGCGGATGGTAGTGGTGCTGCTGCTGGGGCTGAGGTTGTCGAAGCCGGATCCCGGACCGGGCCACCTGTCGCCGGCGGCCCACCAGGGGTTGCTCGTGCCCTTGATGTCTCGAGCGGTATCGCGCCCGCTACGTAACATCAGCCCCCGCATAAACCGCCGCGCGAGACCGACGCCCCTCTCGTCGTTGCCGACGGCGCTATCTATCTCCTCGTCGCTATCCTCCTCGTCGTCAGAGTCAACCTCGAAGACGGAGACGTGCGCGGGTGGCTCAGAACGGGCTACCGGAGGCTGACAGGCGGCGCACTCTGAGCGAAGGGCGGATGGCTTGCCTGGCGCCCCGGGGTTCTGGGAGCCGCCTCTGCCTTGGGCGTGTGCCTGTGTCCGTGCAACATGTGCAAGAGAAGAGGACGAGCGGGTTGAGAGGTTTGAGAAGGAAAACTTTCGAAGATTGGCAAACGAAGGGCGACGGATTGCTGTCCGTGGCCGGCCAGGCGGCTCCGGGAGTGGCTTCAACCAAGGTGATTGGCGGGGGAATTCCGCTGGGGCCGGCGCAGGTGGTGGAAGCATTGAAGGTATAGAGGTGGTGCTGGCTGACATGGAGTTCAACGCCTTGGCCATGTTATTGCTCATGGCGCCCAGATATTGGTCGTGGCTAGTTAAGGATGGTGATTTCGAGGCTTGCTGAAAAGGGACGACGGTGGCTCCCAATGGCCTTGCAAAGGAAGACTTTCGTGGCGGAATAGGGGGGATCTGCCTATCCGGCGGGTCCGTCGGCGGAAAGAGTGAGTAAGACGCTACCTTCGGGGTCTGAGGCCGTTGACGGGTCGGACTTGGTGCGTTTGGCGGTCGAGATGATGTATTCAGTTGCCCTTCTCGAGTGCCGGATTGACTCGCTTGCTTGTCCTCTCGGCCTAGAACCGGTCGTGTTGGATCTTGAGTATTGTGCTGACCCCTAGAGGAAGAGTCGATAAGTGCTGGGTAGCGATGTGTCGTGGAGCTGGAATCTTGGGTCCTGATTTGCCAAAACGAGTCCCAGAGATCTGTCCCTGTGGTATGATATTGGTAGTCCTCATCAACCGAGACGTCGGACCCATGATCCTCGACCATCCCCGGAACCGAGCAGTCGGAACCAAGGGATTCTCGACCAGCTTCCACCTGACATTGGTTGTGGGGAGGATCAGAGCAAGGGTATTGGTAGGTCTCCATTGGGTAGATTGCTCGGGGGAGTTGGGTGACGTGTTGGAGCCCGGTAAACCCGTGTTGCTTCTCCATCGTTGGCGATATCAACCGACTTCCCTGGGTGCTAACTATATATATGGCACACGGAGACTGAAGTGGCGATAGCGAAGTAGGGCCAGGACCCTAAGGGGACATGTAGACGGCAGACGGGCCCAGGCGAATATTTCGGCCAGTAAGTCCGGAAGATGGCGGGGTTGCTCGGGAAAAAGCAAAGAGGCCCAAGTGAGCGTTTTGATGAGATGGGACAAGATCAGAGACAGAAACACCCATGCCCGGCGCAAAAACACAGGGGGGTAAAGTGAATAATATATGGGTATCTGGATCACCGCCCCTTGAGCCCAAGAGAAAGCTTCGGCGGGGTAATGGGGGCTAAGCACCAGGTACGCATGCGCCACGCTGTCGAGCGAGGAAGAGGGGGGAGAGGGGGGAAGAGTCAAACATAAACAAGGCGAGGGAGAAGCCAAGGAATGTCTCGAGAGGAAACTTGGTAGAGAGAAACAGCAGCGGCCAGGGCCACAACCCGAAGCAGAGGACCCCTGGTTGAAAAGGGGGGTTGGAGAGCCCCGGGTGTGTGGTCAGGCCGTGTCGGACCGGAATGCAGGCGAAGAGATGGCCCTCGGTGGTCGCGACTCGTCTGCCTAATCGTCTTCGCAGATGGGGATGGGCATTTTATGACGTATCGCGAACGGCTGGGGCAAAAAAGGAAAAGAAAACATGACAGGTGGCGCGGCTTTCGGCCCTCTTGCTATCTACAAAAAGCCTGCCTACTAGGCGAGGGTCGAGGGAATTATATTAGACGACGGGATCTAGCCAGCTATAGCAGACCGCTCTCTAAACCTAGACGACGAGACGAAAGGCCGAGAGTTTCTTCTTCTTGTTGTTGTTGTTGTTGTTGTTGTTCTTCTTCTTCTTTTCTCTTGTTTGTGTTGGAAAGAGACAAACACGCAAAAAAAAGGAAAGCAGTGTGTATGTGTGTGTGTGTGTGGTATTGAGGACCGCGTCTGTTTCATTCCTTGAACGCGTTTTGAGAGGGGGTGTCAAAGTGACGCCCTCCTCGGAGCCCCGAGACCTGCCTACCTTACCTACCTTTTAGGATACCTACTCTGGCAGCATGACGGCATCGTCGTAGAGAGGTATCATTTTGTGCCTGGTGCCGGTGGCAGAGGCTGTTCTCAATGCCACCGACGGCCGAGACACGTGCACATCGCGGTAGCCCCTTTTCAGGGAGAGCCCCCCTCCCCTCTGCCCCCTTCCTTCCCAACCCCGGAGAAGTTGATGCGGCTCACGATGCGACCTATCAGGACCCTCCTGAACCAGGGTCTCTTCTCCTGGCCGATTGCCGGGTCGATCTCCCGACAAAGAATCTGGGAGCAGAGCGGTCAGTTGTCAGTCGTCGGAAGTTTAGGAGCGGTAGCGGTAGCGGCTGGCCGTGATGGAGTGCGCAATGTGCAGCGTGCAGTGCCCCCGTCTGCAGTCTGTAGGTCTGCCCTTCGGAGGCCATTAGACGGGCATGTGTGACCGTGCATCCGAAGAGAGGAGCTGGAGTTTTGGGATACTGTACAACTCGGTTCAAGTTGGCGTGTGTCGTCCTTTCTCGTCCTTACCTTATTTTGTTGAAGTCGCTTCACACTTCCTTACCTGGAATCAGGCCACAGCCCAACCATCGAGTAGAGGTGAGCTGGTCCTGTGAGCAAGAAAGGGATAGAACGGATGGTGGTGACACAAGCAAGAAAACAAACAACCCACGAGCAAGCAACCCGTTCGGTAATCTTTTCTTTTTTTTGTTTCTTCTGACGAATCAAGCTTTCAAGCTGTTCACATCCGGGAAGCAGGGAGTAGCAGTGCGGTTCAGCCCTCCAATGGCTCTTTCCCAGCGAACCGGATGGGCGAGCGAGCTGTCATATTCG